AAAAAAAAAAAAGAAACGCAAAGTTTATTCACGCATATTGTTTGCTTTTGAATAAAAAAAATAGAAATAGTGTAGCTCTGACGTACAAGACCCGACAGAACAGCCTGATGTACCGTGCTACTACGACCTCTCCACGAACACAGCCATGACACTGAATACATAGCGGGAACCTGGAAACATTCATGAGCACCACTTTCATGATGCCTCTAACAGGCTTTCGGTCAGAGGCGGAGGTCTTCCTGTCACATCCACCACCAACTTTAGCATGAGAGAATAAACTTCCCGATTTGGCATTTGTTTGTCCATTTTTTGGAGGCAAAACAATTAGGGACAATTTTTGAAATGCCCCCGAAGTTTGCATTTATTTGCGGCATGCCCCTGTGGAGGCTGACTTACCCTGTCGTGCCCCTCGGGCCTCTGAAATTTTCCGCAGGCCCATGTCAGCATGGGGCATAACTTTCCGATATGCCTTACTGGACCGCTGGTGGCGTTTCATCGGTCTGTCCTTGAAATGCCCTTACGAGGGGCACACATCTTTCAGTGATGCCCTTGCAGCAGTGGCGGCAGGAATTCAAATTGAAAGAGGTAGGCATTCCACGCGTCGCCACAGAAAACATGGTCTGTATATGTGTGTGTGTGTGTGTGTGTGTGTGTGTGTGTGTGTGTGTGTCCATGCTCATCGCCAAATTTCTGATATGCCCCGGTAGCATCTCTCCCGGGGCCGGGGGAAAGACTGCGAGTGTCAACAACGGCCGCAGGGGCTCGCTGGAAAGATGGACGGTACCAATAAGGGGATACGGGAAACTTTTGTGCTGGTTCTCAATGGCCATCCGGTAGGGGCATACTGAAAATTTGGTACTGGTACCGATAGGGGCATATGAAACATTTTTCAGGCCAAATGACGCCAGGGGTTTTCAGGAAACATCATTCGTCGTCAGAGGGGCGCGACAAGGTAAGTCGGCCGTCAGAGGGGCATGCCGCAAATAAACGCAAACTTCAGGGGCATTTCGAAAATTGTCCCAAAAAATTAAAACAGAGTCTCAAAATCACCCCCCCCGCCCCCCCCCTTTCAAATTCACGTTTGCACTTGGTCGGAAAGTCGGACCTCTTGACATTGGCCCCATGGAATTGCACAGGCCGTCTAGATCTGAGAATGTCGCCGAGGTCACTCCAGGGGCCAAGTCCCACTTACCCGAATCCTCAACTTCTGACCGTTGATTAAGATCATCAACGGCCAGAAATGAAGAATCAGGGTAAGTGGTACTTGGCCCCAGGCCACACATGATCTAAAGCGGAGTAGTATTACTTGGCTACTGGGTCCTAGCCCCTGGTGGCTGCATGTTCCCTCGTTGGAGCCTTGAGCACGGAGTAAAAAAATAACAAAAAACAGGAAAAAAAAACACGTTTCAGCGTCATTTTTGCACCTCGCAAAACAGTTTCCTGCCATTTTTACACAGAGGCTGTTACCCGCCCAGCCAGGGTGCAAAAATGACATCATAAGTGTTTTTTGCTTTTGGGAAAATTTGTAAAATACCCCCATAAGTTGAGATACTAAATGCCCCTGAAAGATGTGGGTAGAGCGGAATGCCCTTTTGGGCCTAAATCTGTGTTGTGCCCCTGTCAGGCGGGTGGGCAACTTTGCAATCTGGACCTCCCCGTTTGGGGCTTGGCCATTTGCAATAGCACCTAGATAAAGTTGGCAAGTACTGGGGCCTTTGCAAAGTTGGACGGTACGCCGTAGGGGTATATTGCAAAGAAGGGGGTCGAACCGATGCTAGGGGCATTTCACAAAATATTTCTTTTCTCAGAGGGGCATTCCGCTCTACCCACATCTTTTAGGGGCATTTCGACATATATCTCAAGATTCTCAACTTATGGGGGTATTTTGCAAATCATCCCTTTTTTTTTTTTTTTTTATGGGGTAAGGGTTTTCCTCGCATGTGCAA